GTGGAATATTGAAAATCAAATAAGCAAAAACCAAAACCATGACATTAGGCAGTGTCACTCCTGTCTGCAATCCTAGAAAGGAGGCAGAGCCCGGATGAGGCCTGGTGCGTGCTGGCAGAGGGGATCAGCCCTGCTGCCCCCAGCTAGGGGAGAAGAGCAGGAGAAAATCACCAGGGGCGAGCCACGGGTGGGCCGTCTTTGACTTGGTGTAGGAGGAATCAATGCACGGAGGGGGCAGGGCAGCAGTGTTGGCTTGTGAGGAGAGTCAGTGAGGCCCATGTCCTGTTGCCTCAGAGGAAGACATGGGTTTTGCTGAAGGCACCCCAGTGCTGTACGGATCTGGAGCTTTGTCTCGGCTGGGGTGATGTGGGAAGACTCAGTCAAAGCCTCAGACACTGCTGCAAAGTGCCAACAGGGAGCAGACACAATATAGGGAACAGAACGGACAGAGGCACTGCGGAAAACCTGGATGCCATTGCTGGGATTGGAGTGCTGCAGATGACGCTCGCCCGTTGTGACGTCACTGGCACCGCTCCCCTACGTGAGGGATAGTGACATACGCAGCAGGGGATTGTGACCTCTTGGCCCTGGCTGCCTGTAGCCGGGCACAGAGTCTCTCACTCTCACTTGTGCCCGCACTCCAGCCGAGCGTGTCTGTGAGGTTTGGAGCAAGGAGCAAGGATAGCCTTGGTGCTGGTCTCGTGCTCTGGGAGCTGCCGACAGCCGCTCTCAGTGCTCGTCCCCAGAGCCACTAGAGCTTCTTCCCCGCCCTGCCTGGCTCAGGCAGCCGGGGCACCCAGGAGGCCGCAGCAGCAAAGGGAACCGGTAAGGGGACGCCTCAGCCTGGGCGGCCCAGCTGGGAGGGTTTCCTTCCTGTGGGACCCGGGCACTTGTTCCTCCGCTGGCGGGCTCAGCGAGTGACCGTGGCCTCTCTTCTTTTCCTAGCGTGACCCCTGCTGCTGCAGCAGTGGGGTGAGGAGCAGCCCCTCATCCCCTTTGCTCTCCTGTTCACCCAGCAGCTGGACAGCATGGCCACCGAGCTGGACCGTCGCTGCCCTATTTGTTTGGACACCATGAATGACGCCAGCCATGTGATGCCGTGCCTGCACCAGTTCTGCTTTGGCTGCATCCAGCGGTGGGCTGAGAGCAGGCCCACGTGCCCCCTCTGCAAACGCAGGGTGAAGTCCATCCTGCACTCGGTGCATGCGGACGACAGCTTTCAAGAGGTTGTCGTCGGAAGGCAGGAGAGGGCCAGGACAGCACCGCACCACGCAACACCAGCAGAAGAGCAGCCAGGGGCGGTGCCCGCCTGGGCATCCATTTCCCGACAGCCTCCAGCTGTGCTCCGGCCCCTGCTGCCCTGGCTGCGCCAGGAGCTGGGGCAGCTCTTTGGGGCTGACCACAGGGCAGCCTCTGCAGCACAGCGCCATGTCATCTCTGGCCTGTGCTTCTTTGGCCTGGACGAGGGAGCGCTGAATTTGTGGCTGCTCTGCTCCCTGCGAAGCCAGACCGCCAGCTTTGTGCGACGGCTCGTCATGCAAGCTGCGCATGTGTGCAATGGGCTGGTGCAACGTCTGCCTGGCCCGGAGGCCTCTCGCGCTGCCATGGGACAGGAGGGCAGCCCCGCAGCTGCCCATGGTGCAGCTGCTTCCCCAGCACAGACTCCTGTCTCCGGCCCACGGCCCTCCCGCAACACCAGGGAAGACAACGGGGAAGAGGAGCATCCTGTGCCCTCGACCACTGCCCTCAGTGAGGGGCCCAGCCAGCCTCCATCCCTCCCGGCTCCATCGAGGACCAGCCAGCAAGCAGCCCAGGAGGAGCCGGGGGAGGCAGTGCCGGGTCCCTCCAGCACCAACAGGGCCAGGGAGCGCTCACGCAGGGCGCCTCGGCGAGCCCCGAAGAGGAGGGCCCACGACTCTGGGGCCTCTGCACCTCCTGCCAAGAGGCCACCCCGCCGGCAGCGCTAGGACACCGCCCCAGCAGCTGGCGAGAACAGGGCCGGGCCTGCAGCTGGGGCACAACCAGCCCTCAGGGGCTCAGACTGTGTCAGACTCTCAGAATCACAGCATGGCCTGGGTTGGAAGGGACCTCAAAGATCGGCAATCTCCAACCCCCCGCCACAGGCAGGGCCACCAACCTCCACATGTGACACCAGACCAGGCTGCCCGAGGCCCCCTCCAACCTGGCTTGCACACCTCCAGGGACGGGGCATCCGCAACTTCTCTGGGCAGCCTCACCACTCTCCCTGTAAAGAACTTCCCCCTGACATCCCACCTAAATCTTCCCTCCTTCAACTTCAAATCGTCTCCCCTTGTCCTGCTGTTATCTACCCTTTCAAAGAGCTGACTCTGCAATAAAATTTCAGAAAAATCTCTGTGTTGCTACCAGTGCCTTTGTCAGCGCTGTGCACGGGGGAGGTCAGACTTCTGCTGGGCCTGGAGGCCTCCCATGCTGCTGTTACGATTTCTTTAGAATCACTTTTAACACCCTGAAAGGCAAATGTTGGGAGAGCAGACACTGCTTTATTTCTGCAGAGGGCACAAGGTGGCCTGCAGCTGTGGCATAACCAGCCCTCAGGGGCTCAGTGTTATACCGAGGAAAATAACATTACAGAAAAATCTTTGTGTTGCTACCAATGCCTTTGTCAGTGCTGTGCAGTGCTGCAAACTGTTTTATGAATCTCCTGGATCTATCTGTATTAGATTTGTGGTGTTCCCAGATTACATCTTTAGTTTTTAAGTCACCCGAAAGGATAAGGGCAGGTGATCTTGAGATATCTCTTAGAACGTTTAAGAATAATTCATCAATGTTTTCAGCTTGGGTGGGATGACTGTTGAACAACAACATCCATTTTATTTACTTGTCCTTTTATCCCTGCCCAGAGGCTGTCAACCACATCATTGCCAAGCCGGAACTCTGTACAGCAGCCCCTCCCTCGTAAACAGCTACTTCCCCTGCATCACCTGCCCAGCATGTCCCTTCAGAGGATCCCAGAACTGTCCACTGTAACACACCAGCCCCAGGGTTCTTCTCACCATGTTTTGTCATCTAATTATGTTGTAACTCTAGGACAGAGCCCAGATTTCTAGCTCCTCTTCCTTCTTCCTCATGAGTGGAAGTGAAGAGAGGGACAGCAGGCAGCACTGCTAACAATGCATTTGTCGTTGCTGTCTCCACTCCTGCTGCTTTCTCTGTTGATGTGCCCACCGTGTCCTGATGTGCCTATGGGGTCTTCAGGTGCATGAGACTGTCTCATAGGAACAGGACATGACAATCCTATCCCTTTGGGGGCAGAGTTGAGGTGTTCATGTTGGCACTTTATTCTCAATGTGAGAAGCAATACTACCTCAAAAGCATGCACTGCTCAGCTTCAGGCCTGCACCACCACAGATTCTCCCAGGGAGTTTTTTCCAGTCTAAAGGACCATAATGCCAGCCTTTGCATATCTCCATCACCCCAGACCTGGCCTTCTCCTCACCTTACTCTCTGCCTCCAAGGCTCAGACCTCTTCTCTCCTGCCAATCTGTAGTGCTGGTTATGCTCAGTTTATTGAAAAAGTAGTCTCACAGATGTATTTGCCTCAGCCTTGGGCAGGAATAACCCAGACTGTCTTTCCTATAATGCTTTTTGTATGCACTACAGGGACTTTATTCTGCAGTATGTAACGGTTTTGACTGAGCAGGGTCAAATCAATTACCAGCACCTCATTAGGGTTAAATGTCCACAACAGCCATTCCTCTTTCCTTTACAGTCCTTTGTACTTTTTCATTTTTCTACAGGCTGATTCATGACAGGAAAATTTGATATACCTACTCAATGCCATTCTCCTTAGACCAGGTGTCTCTGAAGTTGTTTTGGAAATGAGCCTGGCTCAGTTCCTTCTGGGGAGCAGTGCTGCCGTAAGACTTGCCTTTCATTCCCCAGGATAGTGTTCTGTTCAGTGACATGGAGCATGGGCAACATTACCAGTCATCTGGTGGTTACTTTTGCTATTGTAAGTGCATGGCAAAGTGAATATGGAACAGCAATGAGGCCTTGCTGTAATGAAGGCTAATTATACTCTGGGTGAATAGGTGAAGTAAGTGAAGCGTTGTCAGCATGCCAAGGGAAGTGATAGTTTGTCTGTTTGAGATACTTGTTCAGCTTTGCCAAAAGATACAACAGTAGCCATTACTCCAGGTCTTCTGGCACCATGGTGTGTCCCATTGACTGGGCAGGAAAGACCTGAGACAAAACAGCTGAAGGAGGTGGCCATGCTCCCAACATCTCTTAAGAGTAACATAATTTATTAGAAAATGTTAAAAGCGAGCACATAACAACTGAACAATCCCATGAGAGCTAAAATTAGCCTCTGTACATAATTCAAAATTTAAAAGAAAATAAAGAAAATGAGAAAAATAATTTGTAGAAATCATATAAAATGTTGCAAAAGCCCTGCACTAGGTTTTAAAGCTTGTTGAATCGACCAATAAAAAAATTCTATACCTTCACCAACTATGTGAAAAATATACAACTCCACTCTACCACTCTTCATAAAGAAACTGGGGATTTTTTTTTATTTTTATTTTTTGTGATGAAGTTGTTGTTTTTAGTCTATAATGGCATATTCAGCCTTCACACCCCACTGGACTTCATGCTTATCTGAGAATAGTATGAAAACTGGTATTTTTGTGAGCTGTGTTCTTTTCCATAGCACAGATGCAAGAGGCCATATTTTACTGAATTGTGTTTATAACTGTGTACTATTTACTGGATTAATTAACACGACTATTTATTGGGTAAGTGCTGTCTTTTAATTACCTACTACAGCAGAAACGTAAGCAATAACTGATAATCAGTAAATGTGACCATGAAGAATTCTTGAACTGTAATCAAGATTTAATCAAGAACTGCTTATAGTGGCAGTAGAGCCTCTGAAGCATGTCCAGAGAAGGGCAGTGAAGCTGTGAAGGGTCTGGAGCACAAGTCTCATGGTGAGCAGCTTAAAGTGTTCAGTCTAGAGAAGAGAAGGCTCAGGGAAGACCTTGTTACTTCCTACACTGTCCTGAAAGGAGATTGTGGTGAGATGGGAATTGGCCTCTTCTCCAGGTAGCAGTGATAAGACGAGAGAGAGTGGCCTTAAATTGTATCGGGGAGTTTCAGTTTGTATTCTGCAAAAAAATTATTTTCTGAAAGAGTGATAAGGTGTTAGAACAGTCACCATCCCTGGTGAAAAAGAAAAGTTTAGATGTGGCACTGAGGGACATGGTCTAGAGTGGTCGCAGACATGGGTTAATGATTGGACTAGATGATCTTAATGCTCTTTTCAACCTGAATGATTCTATGATTCTTTTCAGATGTCCTTTCTCCTGTAGTCTTTAACAGTGGCCTGACGAGCCTGACCTTTCTGTACGTGGTTTAAGCTTTCTTAACCTCTTTATGTCTTTTCTGTCCCAAAACACATACATAATTCAAGATGTTTCCATTATGAGAAAACTTGAAAGATATGTGACCTGTGCTTACTGTGGCTGAACAATATCTGAGAGTTACTCAGTTACTGTGCAGATCCGTAGATTAACATCATAGCATCTTATGGGCTTCCCAGAAATCTTTCTGCCAGAGGAAATTCTGTTAACATGCTAGGATGCTATCCAGGATTAAAGCCCCAGATCAGAGCAAAGGTGAGAAAGTAGTTCCAGAGTCAGGGTGGATATGGAGAAGCACCCAGAATCCCAACTAGCTGAAAATACACACTGTACATTGAAACAATATTGAAATAATTGCATCATTTATATCTCACATATGCAAACTTTTTTGCTATTTTTAATTGGCCTTTTTGCTTCAAGTTGTTGAGTAGACAGTCAATTTCTGAAATCCCAGCAAAGCAAAATCAAACTCACAAATGTTTCACTAAAACAGAAAGGCTGAAGTGTGCTATTTCCCTGGATGGTAGCAAGTAGCTCTGCTTTGTAGCAATGCTCTGTCTTTTCTGGTGCTCACTTCTTTAAAAAAAAAAAAATATATGTGCTGCCCAGATAATGTTTCTCAGTCTTTATGCTATTCCTTACTACTTCCTAAATATTGTTCTTAGGTGCTTCTGTTCAGATGCTGACAGATGCTGTTAAGTTCATCTTAACTGCTTGCCTTTGCTATCAGGTTTTTCAGACTCAGTTTCATGGCTCAGCAGCTGTTCAGAACCTTATATTCATCCATTGCTTTGCTGGGCTAACAGGAATTACCCTTAGGTCCAAAAGCTTCAACAGTGGTGTCTAAGTAGATGGCACATTTCTCACATTTTCTTCTGTAATTCTCACAGTTTTCTTTCATGACTCTCTGATCACAGAATCACAGAATTGCCAGGGTTGGAAGGGACCTCAAGGATCATGAATCTCCAACCCCCCTGCCACATGCAGGGCCACCAATCATAGAGAAACTGTCAGAACAAAAGTTAATAACATTATAGTGGCAACAACAACAACAAAAAACAATCAACCAAACTTGCAAAACAAGAAACAAAATAAGAGTAGATGACTTCAGCGCTCCTCCTCCTCTACTCCTGATAAATTCACAGGATTCATTCTTTGTCTCCAACTTCTCTGTTCATACTCCTGCTGGACCATTGGCAAGTGCAAGTTGTCTCCTTACTCTATGTGCAAAGAGAGAATATTTGAAGTATGAGGCAGTATTATGTACCGATGCAACCACATGGCAGAAAAAATGCTACTGTAATACAGTACTACTTTTGGATTAACTGCTTATTTTCAAAGAAGGATGAAGTAGCCTGAATGCTGCATCGTGGTAATGCTTTCTGACCTGCTTCTACAGGATGCAGAAGAGTGCTCTGTAATATACAAACAGCAATGAGTACTATAATAGCTCCAACTCTCTTCATCAAACAAGAATGTCTAAAGCCTTATTTTTACCTAAAGTGATGTCCTGAAGTAACCTCAGCTCCTCCTCTGCCAGCTGTATCACTGCTTGTCCACCGTTCATCTTTTCTACTTCCAGTGTCTTCCAGAGTCCTCTCACTGAGCTGCTTGCCTCTTCAATAATCACACCAATATCCACCACTGCAGCATGAGACAGACTATCTATTTTCTGAAGGTAGGAGAAACTCACTACTCAGACAGGCAAACGTGCCTGTAATGCCTGTTTGCAGCTTTGCAAGGACTGATAAATTCCTCTTAATAAATCTGTACCCCAATTAGGGACCAGGCTATTACAGCTGAGGAATTATAGTGTAACTTGCCTTCCTTACAGCAGCGAAAGAGGTGTCT